CGCTGATGGGAAAGAGAGTGGTTTCCAAGCTGAGCTATGCTGGCTGAGGAATTCTGGGAGTTGAAGTCCACGAGTCATAAAGCGGCCTAGGCCTAGGCCAGAGGTAGGCCATCTTGCCTCTTTTATGACTGGTGGACTTCGACTCCCAGAATTCCTGAGCCAGCCATGCTGAGGGGAAAGGGAGGTTTCCAAGTTGAGCCAGGCTGGCTCAGGAATTCTGGGAGTTGAAGTCCACGAGTCATAAAAGAGCCAGGTTGCCTATTCCTGGTATAGGGTGCCATGCTAGCAGAGGAATTCTGGGAGTTGAAGTCCCCTCATCTTCCTCAGGAGTAGGCAACCTTGGCTCTTTTATGACTCGTGGACTTCAACTCCCAGAATTCCTCAGCCAGCATGGGGGAAGTATGGGCCCTTCATGACTCGTGGACTTCAACTCCCAGAATTCCTCAGCCAGCCTGGCTCAGCTTGGAAACCTCTCCCTTTCCCCTCAGCATGGCTGGCTCAGGATTCTGGGAGTTGAAGTCCACGAGTCATAAAAGAGCCAAGGTGGCCTACCTCTGGCCCAGGCCTAGGCCACTTTATGACCCGTGGACTTCAACTCCCAGAATTCCTGAGCCAGCCTGGCTCAGCATGGAAACCTCTCCCTTTCCCCTCAGCATGGCTGGCTCAGGAATTCTGGGAGTTGAAGTCCACCAGTCATAAAAGAGCCAAGGTTGCCTATTCCTGGTATAGGGTGCCATGCTAGGAGAGGAATTCTGGGAGTTGAAGTCCCCTCATCTTCCTCAGGGGTAGGCAACCTTGGCTCTTTTATGATGGGCCCTTCATGACTAGTGGACTTCAACTCCCAGAATTCCTGAGCCAGCTGGCTCAGCATGGAAACCTCTCCCTTTCCCCTCAGCATGGCTGGCTCAGGAATTCTGGGAGTTGAAGTCCACGAGTCATAAAAGAGCCAAGGTGGCGTAGCCCTGGCCGAGCAGAAGGACAATGGTGCATTCTGGGTAACGAAGTCCTTCATGCGATGCTCTGCAGAAGGAAATTAAATCCTGAAGGGAATTAATTGTGTTTTTATATAGCCAGGTCGATATTCCTTTGTCTACATGACATTTGATCGATCCGTCCGACTTTCATTGATCGACTTGTTTTTGTGGCTTTCGGTCGCAATCAATACCCCCTCCCCCCGGCTCTAAATTAAGCGGTGGTCTTGGCCTTTTGCGCTTGAAGAGGCCCGAAACAAACCGACAATCGGGGTTTGCCCCCAAGAGGGCTCCACCTTGGCTACCTTCTCACCAGGAAAGCGAGTCCTCAGCCTACAATTGAGCCCAGGGACGCTGCGACCGTCGTAAATACGAGTCGGTTGCCCAGCATCTGAGTTTTGATCCCATGACTCAGGGACACTGCGACCGTCGTAAATACGAGTCGGTTGTCCAGCGTCTGAGTTTTGATCCCGTGACTTGGGGACGCTGCGACCGTCGTAAATACAAGTCGGTTGTCCAACATATGAATTTTGATCCCGTGATTCCGGGACGCTGCGATCGTCGTAAATACAAGTCGGTTGCCCAGCGTCTTAATTTTGATCACGGGGCCCAGAGACGCTGCAAGCGTCATAAATATGAGTTGGTTGTCAAGCATCTGAATTTTCATCCTGTGATTCCGGGACACTGAAACCGTCATAAATACAAATCGGTTGCCAAGCATCTGAATTTTGATCACGTGACCCCAAGGCATTGCGACCGTCATAAATACGAGTCGGTTGCAAAGCGTCTGAATTTTCATCCCATGACCCTGGGATGTTGCAACCGTCATAAATACAAGTCGGTTGCCAAGCGTCTGAATTTTGATCCCGTGATTCCGGGACGCTGTGACCGTTGTAAACATGAGTCAGTTGCCAAGCTATCTGAAGTTTGATCATGTGACCACGGGTCCTGAAGTGTGGAAAAACAGACACGTGTCACTTTTTCCAGGGCTGTTACCACGTCCGACGGTCACTAAACGAGCAAATCCCCAAATCGGTTGCTCTGTGAATTTGACAACCTTCCATGCCCCCGTTGTTAAGAGAATTGCTGCCTTGTTAAATGCGTCGCATGGTCGTTAAGCGAAGCTGGCTTCCCCCACTGACTTTGCTTGTCAGAAAGGTCGGAAAAGGGGATCGTGTGACACCCCCTGACTTCGAACAGTCTCTAAATGAACTGTATAGCCTTCCCGTGTGTGTGTGTGTCTGTGTGTGTTTAGGAAGTACACAGTGCCGTTGTCGCATTGCAGGGGAAGAACAGAAGGAAGAAGAGTTTGTTGTCTCTTGGTGGGAGAAGACCACCAAATCTACAAAACCCTGTTTTCAAACATGGCCATTTTAAGATGGGTGGACTTCAGCTCCCAGAATTCCCCTCGCCAGCACTGTTGGGTGGGGAATTCTGGGAGTTCAAGTCCGCCCATCTTCCAAGGTGCCGAGGTTGAGAATGACTGAGAACGTCCTTTGTTAGCGTAATGGACGGGTTTTTTTTTCCCAAACTTGGCCACTTGAAGACGGGTGGACTTCAACTCCCAGAATCCCCCAGCCAGCCAGGCTTCTTCAATCCTATGCATCTTAAAGCAGGCCGGCTGGGGGATTCTGGGAGTGTAAGTCCTCCCCTCTTGAAGCATGTCTGGCTGGGGGATTCTGAGAGTGGAAGTCCCCCCCCTTAAAGCAGGCCGACTGGGGGATTCTGGGAGTGGAAGTCCTCCCCTCTTCAAGCATGTCTGGCTGGAGGATTCTGGGAGTGGAAGTCCCCCCCTTAAAGCAGGCCAGATGGGGGATTCTGGGAGTTGAAGTTCTCCCTTCTTAAAGCATGCCGGATGGGGGATTCTGGGAGTTGAACTACACACCTCTTAAAGCATGGCTGGCTGGGGGATTCTGGGAGTGGAAGTCCTCCCCTCTTAAAGCATGCAGACTGGGGGATTCTGGGAGTGGAAGTCCTCCCCCCTTAAATCATGCCGACTGGGGGATTCTGGGAGTGGAAGTCCCCCCCTTAAATCATGCCGACTGGGGGATTCTGGGAGTGGAAGTCCCCCCCCTTAAAGCAGGCCAGATGGGGGATTCTGGGAGTTGAAGTTCTCCCTTCCTAAAGCATGCCGGCTGGGGGATTCTGGGAGTTGAACTACACACCTCTTAAAGCATGCAGACTGGGGGATTCTGGGAGTGGAAGTCCTCCCCCCTTAAATCATGCCGACTGGGGGATTCTGGGAGTGGAAGTCCCCCCCTTAAATCATGCCGACTGGGGGATTCTGGGAGTGGAAGTCCCCCCCTTAAATCATGCCGACTGGGGGATTCTGGGAGTGGAAGTACACCCCCCTTAAAGCATCCTGGCTGGGGGATTCTGGGAGTTGAAGTCCATCCCTCTTGAATATAAATATTTAAATAAAAATATAAAATAGGAAAGAAAGAAAAAAAGAAAAAAAGAAAGGAAGGAAGGAAGGAAGGAAAGGAGAGAGGAGGAAGGAAGGGGAGGGCGGGAGGTGGAAAGGGGGAGGGAGTGAGGGGGGAAGGAAGGGAGGGAGGGAAGAGGAAAGAAGGAAGGAAGGAAGGAAGGAATAAAGAGGGAGTGAGAGGGGGAAGGGAGGGAGGTTAGGGAGGGAGGAAGGAATGAGAGAAAGAGAAAGAAAGGAGAGGGAGGGAGGGAGGGAGGAAAGGGTGAGAGGGGGAAGGGAGGGAGGAAAAGAAACAAAAGAGAAAGCTTAAAGGGCTAGAAAAGAAAGAAAGAAAAAAGGAAGACAAGAAAAAGGAAGATAAGAACGAAATCCAAGAGGAAAAAAATATTTGAAAAAGAAAAGAAACCGCAGAAAGAAAGAGCTAAAAGTGGCAGAAAGGAAAAAAAAATGGAACGGAAAAAAAAAGAAAGCGACCAAGTGGTGCCTTTGAATCTTCTTTTACATCAGTTAAAATGATAAATTTGCCTCTTTTTCTACAGTTACATCCTGACTCCCTTTTTCCTAACATCTTTCCTGACTAATTCTCAAAACCATCAATCATGTTTATTTTCCCCCCTTTTCCTAGAAAAACAAAGTCCCTAACTGGATTTTTGGGCAACAATAAATATAAATAATATAAATATAAATAATATAAATATAAACAATATAAATATAAATACATATTTTCTCAACTCAAAAAAAAAAATCAGTTTAACCAGATTCCTGATCTTCTTTCTCCATCTTTCATTCCAGTAATGAAAATTTTCCCCAGGGACGAAAAAAAAACAAAAAAAGAAGCATCAACCAGAAATGAAATACTTGCGCCGAAAACCTGGTTATTCACCTTTGCAGATGTCGGTTAAATCGTGGTTTAATAACATTTCCACCCGAGGTTAGCAGACAGCTTTATTAGTGGTTTATTTAGCAAAAAAAGAGGAACAGAGAGTTAGGAATGTACAAGATTTGACATACAAAGCGCAGGAGAGAACACAGGCTATATATATATATATTCCCGGAGATCGGAGATTGCATTATTGAACAAATATGCCCAGGATTCGCATTTTTACAAACATTAAGGACATGTATGTATGTATGTATGTTTTCTGAGATTTTCGTGGGTGTTTGTATGTAGGTCTTTGGTTATTCGGGTTTTCTCCCGCGTAAAATTGGAAGTGTCTTGGCGACATTTCGACGAAGTCCCATTCGTCATCTTCAGGCTGGTGTTTTCGGCTTCGTGCTTCTAGGAGCAATGATAATCTAGAAGCACGAAGCCGAAAACACCAGCCTGAAGATGAGAAATGGGATTTTGTCGAAACGTCCCCAAGACCCTTCCAATTTTACGCGGGAGAAAACCCGAATAACCAAAGACCTACATATACATACGTACACACATATATATATATATATATGTAGGTCTTTGGTTATTCGGGTTTTCTCCCACGTCAAATTGGAAGTGTCTTGGCGACATTTTGACGAAGTCTCATTTGTCATCTTCAGGCTGGTGTTTTCGACTTTGTGCTCCTAGAAGCACGAAGCCGAAAACACCAGCCTGAAGATGACGAATGAGACTTCGTCGAAACGTCGCCAAGACACTTCCAATTTGACGTGGGAGAAAACCCGAATAACCAAAGACCTACATACAAACACCCGCGAAAACCTCAGAAAACACACACACACATTAGAGGTTTTACAAGAAATTATTGCAGTGATTTGAATCAAATTGAGCGTGGCCCCTTTAAGAGGCACAGACTTCAACTCCCAGGATTCCCCTCCCAGGAATTCTGGGAGTTGAAGTCCACTCTTCTTAAAAGCGGCCATGTTGGAGAAACAGTCCTTTGGGATAAAGACAGAGCAATTTCCAAAGGCCACACGGACATACAGATTAAAAGCATTTTGCAAAAGGCAACTTTGACGGCGATGGCAGAAAAACAGAATTTTCTCCCGCAAAGAGAATTGTAGCATTTTGCATCCGGTCGCCCGCAATCTAAACGCAAGACACCCAATTTAGTTTTCCCCCCAAACTTAAAAACATCAAAGGGGAGAGATAAACTAATTAAATAGGGAAAATCAAAACGCAAATCGGGGAAAGAAAAGAGGGAAATTACGAGAGAGACGGTTGAGGAATATTCGCAAGGATGGAAGTTGGGTTGGTTGCCTCCCACAATCACCTCAACACTGTATCCCCGGGGACATCTGTGACCAGGATTCCTAGTTAGCCACGATGGGGCCGTGTTGGTGGGGGTGGAATGCTAGGATTCCCGGATGTTGGGTAAAAGGGACAACCCGCCGCTGATTTTAAGAAGTATAGTGGGGAGAAGAGCCCATAATCGGAGGTCTTAGCAGGTTGAGGAGACCACGAAAAGTTTGGGAGGCAGAGATTTAAGATGGCCAACTGATCTTCTGCTCCAGGGAGGAGAAGGCCAAGGAAAAGACCTTGCTTGGTCCGAGGAAGAACTGCTTCAAGGAAATCTTCTTCAAGGAGCAGTCCAGAAGCTCAAGAGAAGGTCTCACCAAGATCATGCATGATGCCTGCACGAGTCTTCTCGGGGATCAAGTCAACTTACAATTCCTAGCAGGTTGACTTCGGGCCCAACCATAGTTGAAAAGCTACATTATCTTCCTAACTGATCATCTGGTCAACGGTCCACCTCGGAAGCCAACATTCCTTCAACTAATCTGATATCCTTCAAAACCTTTGAGTTGGGGACCTCCAGAATCTTCCATCCTTGCCCGGAACCAACCAACAGGGAAAGGACTACCTTTTGATCCAGAAGGGAAATCCAGAATCTAATTGCTGAGATCTTGACCCTACAATTCTCCAGCAAGCTAGTCATCCAGAACCTCCAAAGACTATCTCTGGGGCTTCCTGGTTTGCAGGGGTGGTGTCTGGGGGTCCTCAGGATCCCCAAAGCTCCATCAGCTCGTCTACAACTTGATCCCCGCCCTTCCTACTAGGCATGGACTCCAACGGTGCAGAGTCCACCACCATCATATTCATTCTATTAAGAGTGTTCCTCAACCTTAGGGGGAGGATTTCAACCCACCAAGAATTCTGGGAGTTGAAAAGTCCACCCATCTTCCAGCAGCCGAGGGCTGAGGAACACTGCTCTGCTCTGTGACTTGGTGTGAAGAACCTCAAGAGATGCGCTAGCTGCTGGTTGTCAAGGAGAAGCCTCCTTATCTTATGACAAGGTAGACCAAACTGTAGGATCAAAACTCAGACGACGGCCAGCTTTCTAAGCCAAAGGCGAAGAAAAGCAGTAATTATTCGCATCAAGACTCGAGGCCAATGGTGCCAGCTTGGGGACCTCCTGAGATAGCTTCCCCATTAGCAGGTCCAGAGTCTTGAGCTGAGAAGAAGACCGTTTCCAGGAGACACTCAATGTTCAACCTCGAGGAGCTTCTGAAGGCAGCTGAAAACTCTGCAAGGTCTACGTCCATCTGAGCATCCTACCCCATGAAATGGGAGAAGACCATGATGATCCTTCAAGTAGGACCATGAGGTCCTACTTCAAAAGCGTCTGGGCCTGATTGTTCACCATGTCCTATCTCAGAAGCTTCTGGGTTTTGTTCCACCAATGTCCTAACTCAGGGGTCTTCAAACCTGGCCCTTTTATGCCTTGTGGACTTCAATTCCCAGAATTCCTCAGCCAGGCATGCTGGCTGAGGAATTCTGGGAGTTGATGTCCACAAGGCACAAAAGGGCCAGGTTTGAAGACCCCTGTCCTACCTCAAATGCTTCTGGATCTGTTTTACACAAATGTTCTACCTGAAAAGCTTCTGGATCTGTTTTACACAAACTTTCTACCTCAAAAGCTTCTGGATCTCTCCACAAATGTCCTACCTCAAAAGCTTCTGGATCTGTTTTTCACCATGTCTTACCTCAAAAGCTTCTGGATCTCTTTTCCACCAATTTCTACCTCAAAAGCTTCTGGATCTGTTTTCCACAAACTTTCTACCTCAAAAGCTTCTGGATCTGCTTTCCACAAACTTTCTACCTCAAAAGCTTCTGGATCTTCTTTCCACAAACGTTCTACCTCAAAAGCTTCTGGATCTGTTTTCCACCAATATTCTACCTCAAAAACTTCTGGATCTGTTTCCCACAAACTTTCTACCTCAAAAGCTTCTGGATCTGTTTTCCACCAACATTCTACCTCAAAAGCTTCTGGATCTCTTTTCCACCAATTTCTACCTCAAAAGCTTCTGGATCTGTTTTCCACAAACTTTCTACCTCAAAAGCTTCTGGATCTGCTTTCCACAAACTTTCTACCTCAAAAGCTTCTGGATCTGCTTTCCACAAACGTTCTACCTCAAAAGCTTCTGGATCTGTTTTCCACCAATGTTCTACCTCAAAAGCTTCTGGATCTGTTTTCCACAAACTTTCTACCTCAAAAGCTTCTGGGCCTGGTTGTCCTACCTCAGAAGCTTCTGGATCACTTTTCCACAAACTTTCTACCTCAAACGCTTCTGGATCTGTTTTCCACCAATGTTCTACCTCAAAACCTTCTGGGTCTCTTTTCCACAAACTTTCTACCTCAAAAGCTTCTGGATCTGTTTCCCACAAACTTTCTACCTCAAAATCTTCTGGGTCTTTTTCCACCAATGTCCTACCTCAAAAGCTTCTGGATCTGTTTTCCACAAACTTTCTACCTCAAAAGCTTCTGGATCTGCTTTCCACCAATGTCTTACCTCAAAGGTTTCTGGATCTGTTTTCCACAAACTTTCTACCTCAAAAGCTTCTGGATCTGCTTTCCACCAACGTTCTACCTCAAAAGATTCTGGATCTGTTTACCATCAACGTTCTACCTCAAAAGCTTCTGGACCTGGTTGTCCTATCTCAGAAGCTTCTGGGTCCCCCATGACCGAGAAGCTACGAGAAAGCAGTTCTCCAACGGAATCAAGATGGAAGGATAATTTTGGCAGCTCAATCAAGCACAAACGTCTCCCTCAGTGCTAGTTTGTTGGGTCTAAACGTAAATTGAATTTGCCTCAGAATTTGGTCCGAATTTAAACTGCATTTTCACTCAGGATGGAATGGATGCCTTAGGGGCAAAAAGCTCATTTTAACAGCAGCTTCAGCAGTTTTCTGCAGGAGAAATGCGAAGCAGCTTAATGGAAGATGCCTCTCTGCGGAACCGTGGTCTCCTGGCCTACATAATTCATCCCAACGTGGGAGGGGAGGGCTTTGTTTGCGGGATTGACTCACAACACACCCCGTCCACCAGCTTTGTTGGCCGACAAATTCCCCATCTTCAGCCGTTTGGGACTTGGGCGAGCGCCCTACCAGCTGAGGACAGGGGACTCAACCGCCAGCGGGGACTCACCAACGTCCCTTTTTTGAGCCAGTGGTGGAAATGAGCAAGAGCTGGGTTATACAAAATATATGATTTTTACATAGATTAGATGATAGATAGATAGATAGATAGATAGATAGATAGATAGATAGATAGATAGATACAGACTGACTGACTGAATAGATACCAGTAGTAATAGATAGATAACTAAGATATAGATAGATAGATAGATAGATAGATAGATAGATAAACTGACTGACTGACTGACTGACTTAGATACCAGTAGTGATAGATAGATAAATAAGATTAGATAGATAGATAGATAGATAGATAGATAGATAGATAGATAGATAGATAGATGAGATAGAGAGGCAGACAGACAGACTGATTGACTAGACATCGGTGACAGATAGATAGATAGATAGATAGATAGATAGATAGATAGACAGACAGATAGATGGATAGGATAGAGAGACAGACAGACAGACTGACTGACTTACTTAGATACCAGTAGTGATAGATAGATAGATAAATAAGATATAGATAGATAGATAGATAGATAGATAGATAGATAGATAGATAGATAGATGAGATAGATAGATGAGATAGATAGATGAGATAGAGAGGCAGACAGACAGACTGATTGACTAGACATCGGTGATAGATAGATAGATAGATAGATAGATAGATAGATAGATCGATAGATAGATAGATAGATAGGATAGAGAGACTGACTGACTGACTGACTGACTGACTAGATATGAGTGATAGACAGAGAGAGACAGACAGACAGACTGACTGACTTACTTAGATACCAGTAGCGATAGATAGATAAATAAGATATAGATAGATAGATAGATAGATAGATAGATAGATAGATAGATAGATAGACAGACAGACAGACAGACAGGATAGAGAGACAGACAGACTGACTAGGTATCGGTGATAGATAGAGACAGACAGACAAACAGACTGACTGACTAGATATTGGTGATAGAGAGACAAACAGACCGACAAACAGACTGACTGAGATACCAGTAGCGATAGATAAATAAGATATAGATAGATGACAGATAGATAGATGATAGATAGATGAGATAGAGAGACAGACAGACAGACTGACTGACTAGGTATCGGTGACAGAGAGTCAGACAGACTGACCGACTGACTGGATACCGGTGATAGACAGACAGACAGACAGACAGATGTATGGATAAATGTATAGACAGACAGATATATATATCTATTTAAAAATCATATATTTTTCTAAAAAGAAAGGCCGAAGATTCCAAATTTAGGACTCGGAACAAAATGTTGTTCGGGCTATTTCCGGCCGTCGAGTTTTGACAGCCGGCGAAATTGCAAGCCGACAAGCTAAAAAAAAACCCCCTGGAAGTGGGGGGACGGCTGTGTGTGTGTGTGTGTCAGAAGCCCGCCTGTCAGATCGTCATTTCGTTAGCCCCTCTGACGGGGGTCCGACGTCTGCTTCCTTCCTTCCCTTCCTCCCGAGCTGTGAGCTGTCTCATCCCGGCTTGATTTTTTGTGACAAGCCAAAAGAAGGGGGGGAGGAGAATTTGCAAACAGAGGGAGACAGCGGGCCAGGATCCCGGAAGGAGAGAGAGAGAGAGAGAGATAAAAAAAGGCTTTCAAGCCGCATTAAAATTGCACAAAGGCTTCGGCTTGGATAGAGAGAGAGAGAGGACATCTAAGGTCCAAGGTGACCGAGGTGGGCTTAAAAAAAATAAATTAATTAAAAAAAAAAAAAAAACAGTCGGAAGGATGATTGACATCTCCTGGGACAGCCACCCGTTCGCCTCTTTCCGAATCTTAAAAACTAGGGAAATCGGAGTTTGCTCTGGGGGGTGTGTATGTGTGTGTGTGTGTCCCTACCGGCCTTTTAAAAGGAGTCCCTAAAATGCAAAGGTGAGAAGGATGGAGAGGAGATGGCGTCGTAGGACCGGTCGACGGGGAGGCGAGGCCCAAAAGGGAACAAAATGGGGCGGCTGAGGAAATTAAAAGTGAGGGTGGGGGAAAAAAAGGAGGGAGGGAGAGAACGAGAAAGCAAAGTGACGAAAGCTTCGACAAGGACTATGGAGGGAAAGGAAGGGAGGGAGGAAGGGAGGAAGGAAATAGAGAGGGAGGGACAAAGGAAAGGAGAGGAAGGAAGGAAGGAAGGAAGGAAGGAAGGAAGGAAGGAAGGAAGGATACAGACAGGGAGGGAGGGAGGAGATAGGGAGGGACGAAGGAAAGGAGGAGAGGGAGAGGAAGGAAGGAAGGATATAGAGAGGGAGGGAGGAAGGATAGAGAGGGGGGGACGAAGGAAAGAAGGAGATGGAGAGAGAGGGAGGGAGGGAGGGAGGGAGGGAGGAGACAGAATGGGGAAGGAAGGAGATAGAGGAGGAGGAAGGGAGGAGAGAATGGGAGAGAGGGAGGAAGGGAAGAGGAGAGAAAGGGTGGAAGGACGACCAGAGGAGGAAGCGGGAGAAGGAGGGGGCAGAAAGAGGAAGAATGGGGAGGAAGAAGAGAGAGGAGGAAGGAGGAAATGGAGAAGGAAAGAAGCAGAAGAAAGATGAGGACGAGGAGGGAGAGAGGTAGAAATAGGAAGAAAAGAATGGGAGGAAGAGGAAGGAGGTGGAGGAGAAGGACGAAGGAGGGGGCGGAGGAAGAGGAGGAGAGACGAGGACGGCGGGAAGAGGAAGAAGAGGAGAAGGAAAGATGGAAGAGGAAGAAGAAAGGAGAATTAGAAAGAGGGAAGAAGAGGCGAAAGAAGGAAGAAGAGGAAGAGGAAGAGAGGAAGAGGGAGGGAGGAAGAGGAAGGAGGCAGGAGGGAGAGGGAGAGCTGACGGCCCACCCCGGATCTACCCTCTTCATTCTTCAGCCCCGCAATCTCCAGGCAAGTGAAAGGAAGAGCTCTTGAAAAGGCAGAGGACTAGTAGCTTTTAAGTGCAATGACGGGAAGCAAAGCAGAACGAGGAGGCGGTCTCTGGTGGAGAACAGCCCTCCCCCCCCTCCGGGGTGGGGGAGGTGGGGGGTCTAGGTTTCTAGGAAGGAAACGAGAAAGAGAGGGGAGGAGGAAGAGGAGAGGAAGAAGAGGGGGAAGGCCACAGGAGACAGGGAGAGGGCACAAAAGCATTCAGTGGTTAGTAAACGTGAACACGGAGGCGACGAGCAAGCAAAGCGTCAGCCAGCCAAGGAGAAGCTGAGAGGAGCGGGCGTCCCCAAGACGGTCGTCAGAAAGGGGAGCAACCAACCAGCCGCAAGGGAACAGGTTGTGGCGATGGGCCTGCCTTCGCCCCGGGGATCCCCAACGGGGTTGGGTGAAGCATTCGGATCTGAGCCACCTTCCCCAATGGGGAGAAGGTGGGGAGGGGCTGTGTGGATCTCATCTATTGGCAAAGGTGACTGGGATGAGTCGATTCCCAAGGATCTGGCTGGGATTAGTCGAGTCAATTCCCAACATGAAGAGTTTAGTCAATTCCTACAAATTGGCTGGGATTAGTCGAGTCAATTCCCTACAAATTGGCAGGGATTAGTCGAGTCAATTCCCTACAAATTGGCTGGGATTAGTCGAGTCAATTCCCAACATGCTGGGATTAGTCGAGTCAATTCCCAACATGACGGGATTGGTCAAGTCAATTCCTACAAATTGCCTGGGACTAGTCGAGTCAATTCCCAACGAACTGGATGGGATTAGTCGAGTCAATTCCCCAAATGCTGGGATTAGTCGAGTCAATTCCCAAAATGCTGGGATTAGTCAAGTCAATTGAATTGGATGGGATTAATCGAGTCAATTCTCAATGTGCTGCAATTAGTCGAGTCAATTCCCAACATGCTGGGATTAGTCGAGTCAATTCCCTACAAATTGGCTGGGATTAGTCGAGTCAATTCCCAACATGCTGGGATTAGTCGAATCAATTCCCAACAAACTGGCTGGAATTATAGTCAATTCCCAACAAATTGTATTGTATTCAATTCCCAACAAATTGGCTGGGATTAGTCTAGTCAATTCCCTACAAAGTGGCTGGGATTAGTCTAGTCAATTTCCAATAAATTGGCTGGGATTAATGTAGTCAATTCACAATAAATTGGCTTTCATTAGTTTAGTCAATTTCCAATGAACTGGCTGGGATTAGTCTAGTCAATTCCCTACAAATTGGCTGGGATTAGGTTAGTCAATTCCCAACAAACTGGTTGGGATTAGCATAGTCAATTCCCTACAAATTGGCTGGGATTAGCATAGTCAATTCCCTACAAATTAGCTGGGATTAGTCTAGTCAATTCCCTACAAATTAGCTGGGATTAGTCTAGTCAATTCCCTACAAATTGGCTGGGATTAGGTTAGTCAATTCCCAACAAACTGGCTGGGATTAGCATAGTCAATTCCCTACAAATTGGCTGGGATTAGCACAGCCAATTCCCAACGAATTGGCTGGGATTAGTCTAGTCAATTTCCAACAAACTTGCTGGGATTCGTAGAATAGTCAATTCCCAACAAACTGGCTGGGATCAGACTAGTCAATTCCCAACACTGGCAGAGGGAGGGATGTAAGCAAAGCTCTGAATATCTCCTTGAAATTTTAACCATCGTGGTTACTGAATTATCACAGATATTGGAAGAGGAGCGACATCAGTCTAGGGTAGAAAAAAAAAGTCTGAAGTATAGTAGCCTGTTTTCCAGCTCACGTTTGATTGGATTTTGGGAGCAGCCATGGACTTCAACCACATCTGCTCAGGGAAGTCGCCTCGTTGAGGTCCCCTTTGACCCTTCCAAAGGGCAACGGCAAGGAAGTGGGTTCTGGGTTTGACAACACAACCGTTTGAGCATCTCAATGCTCAGAAGATCACTGTGTCCAGCAGATCCAGAAACCAGGAATCTAACGCTGGGTGTGTGTGTGTGTGTGTGTGTGTCAAACTGTTGTAAGGACTTTGTGGGTTCCAAGCAAGCTGTTGTAGACCTCTTTTCCAGTCCAGGAAAGTTTCTCAGATGTCCCGCCCGGCAACCCCAAAGCAGCAATGGCCCAGACCAACCTCACCATGCTACACAACACAAAGACAATCACGATGCACACGTCACAACGCCGAGACCCGGAAGGCAAAGGAGATGGGAGACGACTCTTCCTCGACGTATCAATTCGTTCGCACGGGGGACCCCCCAACTACCGGTCCGTGGTCTATCTGCAAACGGGCTGCACGCGGGCGGCCCTACTCAGGCGAGTGTCGTGGGAGCTCGCGGCCTCACTCGTGTGAGGGTCGCAGGCGCTCAGGGACTCACTCCTGCGAGCGCCCGGGGCTTCATTCGTGCGAGTGTCGTGGGCAAGCGTGCCCCACTTGCGTGTACATCGCAGGGGCTCGGGCCCTCACTCGTGCAAGTCCTCGGGCCTGGCTCGCGTGAGTCCTCGGAGCCTCGCTCGCGCGAGCCTTCGAAACCTCGCTTGCGCGAGCCCTCAGGACCTCACTCGCGCGAGTCCTCAAGACCTCGCTCGCGCGAGCCCTCGAAACCTCGCTCGCGCGAGCCCTCAGGACCTCACTCGCGCGAGTCCTCAAGACCTTGCTCGCGCGAGCCCTCGAAACCTCGCTCGCGCGAGCCCTCAGGACCTCACTCGCGCGAGTCCTCAAGACCTCGCTCGCGCGAGCCCTCGGGATCTCACTCGCATGAGCAACAAGTGATCGTGCATGCGCACGGACTTGCCCGTCCCACAAAGCCATCCGCTCTTTTCCTCCTCCCCTCCATACGGACCACCAACCCAGAATTCTGCTCTAGAATTCCCGGAAGGGTGAAAACCAGCCAACACCTTCCCATATCCTTCATCCATCCTTTCCTTCTTCTCTTCAACCTCCTCCTCTCCTTCCTTCCGTTCATCTTTCCTTCTCTCCCTCCCTCCCTCCCTCCCAACTTTCTTTCCTTCCTTCCATCCTTCCTCTCTCCCTCCCTCCCCTTCCTTCCATCCATCCATCCTCTCCCTCCCTCCAATCACCTCCTTCCTTCCATCCATCGTCTCTCCCTCCCATCTCCTTCCTTCCTTTGTTCTCTCCTCTTCCTTCCTTCCATCCTCCCATCTCCTTTGTTCCTTCCATCCATCCATCCCCTCTCTCTCTCATCTCCTTCCTTCCTCTCCTTCTTCCTTCCTTCCTTCCTTCCATCAATCCTCTCTCCCTCTCATCTCCTTCTTCCTTCCTTCCATCCATCCTCACTCCCGTCTCTTTCCTTCTTCTCCTTCTTTCCATCGATCCTCCCTCGCGTCTCCTTCCTTCCTTCCATCCCTCCATCCTCCCTCCCGTCTCCTGCCTTCCTTTGTTCTCTCCTCTTCCTTCCTTCCATCCTCCCATCTCCTTCCATCTATCCATCCTCTCTCCCTCTCCTCCTTCCTCCCTTCCATCCCTCCCTCCTTCCTTCCTCTCTCCCTCCCTCCCCTTCCTTCCATCCATCCATCCTCTCTGCCTCCCGTCTCCTTCCTTCCTTTGTTCTCTCCTCTTCCTTCCATCCTCTCTCCTATCTCCTTCCTTCATTCTCTCCTTCTCCTTCCATCCTTCCTTCCATCCTCCCATCTCCTTCCATCCATCCATCCTCTCTCCCTCTCATCTCCTTCCTTCCTCTCCTCCTTCCATCCTTCCATCCATCCTCCCTCCCATCTCCTTCCTTTCTTCCTTCCACCCATCCATCCTCCCTCCCTCCCTCCCATCTCCATCCTTCCTCTCGTCCTTCCTTCCATCCATCCACCCTCCCTCCCATCTCCTTCCTTCCTTTGTTCTCTCCTTCTCCTTCCTTCCATCTTCCCTCCCATCTCCTTCCTTCCTCTCCTCCTTCCTTCCATCCATCCTCCCTCCCATCTCTTTCCTTCCTTCCTTCCTTCCTTCCTTCCTTCCTTCCTTCCTTCCTTCCTCCCATCTCCTTCCTTCATTCTCTCCTTCTCCTTCCATCCTCCCATCTCCTTCCATCCATCCACCCTTCCTCCCATCTCCTTCCTTCTCTCCTTCTCCTTCCTTCCTTACTTCCTTCCATCCATCCACCCTCCCTCCCATCTCCTTCCTTCCTTTGTTCTCTCCTTCTTCTTCCTTCCTTCCTTCCCTCCCTCTCTCGCTGAGCAACAGAAATTGTGGGCTCCCCAGCGGTCGTAAGCCCAGGTCAACGGGTGCTTCCTCCAAGGTGTATCTTCCTTCCCATGCCCCAACTCTCTCGCTTCCCACTCAACCACAGGAATTCTGGGCCCGATTCTCGTCGCTACGTTGAGGACTAGCTGCAAGCATCTAAAAACCCCCCCACCGAGTTTTTTTTTTTCTTTGCAAATCTGCGGGGGGGGGGAAGCTTTCTCCGAAAGCCGGTTTATCAAAGCCGGTTTAAATGCTGTCAGATGGTCCGTCGAGTTCAAATCCCTCGTCGCCTTACAACCGCGAGCAGGGTTCGCTAATACTCGGAGTAAAACCTGGTCCCTAAGAAGACAATCCTCTGCAAAACGGAAAGGGAGGAAAGAAGGGAAGGAAAAGACTAAGCCGTCGCTATTTTTAAATAATCCGTCGCAAAAAAAAAAAAGGGATCAGCTCCAAACCGGCTTTAAACCGGGATGGTGGAAGAAAAACAGGACGTCACAGAGATCGTGCAAAAAAAAAAAAAAAAAACCCGTTCCTGACAATATTGAATTTTTTTGGGGGGGGTTCCCCCCCTCAGTGTTTTGAGTCAAGGATTTGAGGAGGGGGACAATTTCCGAAAGGAGGGGGGGTGGGAAAAATAAAACAAAACTGATTTTTTTCTTCATTTGTGTAGTTGTTTATTTATTTACCTGAACCGACTTTGAGTGGACAAGTCAAGTCCCAACGCGCCGTTGAGTGGACTTCGTTTTCCCAGAATTCCCTAGCAAAAATTGGGTGGACTTAAAGCTCCCAATTCCCTAGCCAACATTACGGACTTCAACTCCCAGAATTCCTTGGTCAACACTGAATAGACCAGCTCCCAGAATTCCCTAGCAAAAATTGAGTGGACTTCAACTCCCAGAATTCTCTAGAAAAAAATTGAGTGGATTTCAACTCCCAGAATTCTCTAGGAAAAAAAATTGAGTGGATATCGACTCCCAGAATTCTCTAAAAAAACAAAAACTGAGTGGATTTTGACTCCCAGAATTCTCTAGAAAAAAACTGAGTGGACTTCAACTCCCAGAATTCTCTAGGAAAAAAAATTGAGTGGATATCGACTCCCAGAATTCTCTAAAAAAACAAAAACTGAGTGGATTTTGACTCCCAGAATTCTCTAGAAAAAAACTGAGTGGACTTCAACTCCCAGAATTCTCTAGGAAAAAAAATTGAGTGGATATCGACTCCCAGAATTCTCTAAAAAAACAAAAACTGAGTGGATTTTGACTCCCAGAATTCTCTAGAAAAAAAAACCCTGAGTGGACTCCGATTTCCAGAATTCTCTAAAAAAAAATTGAGTGGATTTCAACTCCCAGAATTCTCTAGAAAAAACCTGGGTGGATTTTGACTCCCAGAATTCTCTAGCAAAAATTGAGTGGATTTCGACTCCCAGAATTCCCTAGCAAAAATTGAGTGGATTTCGACTCCCAGAATTCCCTAGCAAAAACTGAGTGGATTTCAACTCCCAGAATTCTCTAGAAAAAAAAATTGAGTGGACTACAACGCCCAGAATTCCCTAGCAAAAATTGAGTGGACTTCAACTCCCAGAATTCCCTAACCAACATTGAGTGGACTTCAACTCCCAGAATGCATCAGCCAGCATGCTGCGATTTGGGGTCCACACGCCTTAAAAATGGCCAAAATTGAGACATATTGGTTTAGAATCCATGCCTTCCTCGCTTCTCCATCAAAGCAGAAGGCCCTGAGGAATTCTGGGACTTGAAGTCCATTCTTGTCAGCCAGAGAATTCTGGGAATTGAAGTCCACACAACACACACACCTTAAAAGACTTGTCGAGGGTCCCGGGCTAAACCTCAGAACGTTTTCACACCACACTCGAGATAGACCCCGTTGACCCTTCTTGAAGGAAGTCAATCTTGAAGGACGTCAACATGGGTTTCCATCAAACTCAACTCCGTCCAAAGGCCACATTTTTCGGCCGACGGACAAGGGAACGGGAGGAAGACGGACAGGTCGGGCTTCCCAGCTTCTGCTTCACACATACGACACGTCACACACGCCCCAGCAGCGACATGCACATGAGGAAGCGGCTTTGGAGCGGATGGAGAACGTCAACGCAACGTCTTACCTGGTCTGTTGCTCTCGAGTCCGTGGTCGCCATTCTCCATCACGGCTGCCGGTCCAATTGCAGAAGGACCTAGAAGAGAGACCTCCACATTAGTTGGGGGGACCCTTGGGACCTGAGGAACCCCAATCTTCTACCCCAACAGACCTTCTTGGACCAGCTGAAGGTCCACCCGTTTCCTCAGATGGCCCGACGGCCATCTTCCTCCTCCGGGAGGGCCTGTCAATCATCTGTCTTAATCTACCGTGCAAAAATCTCTCTAAATAACCTTCTGGAGGAGATCCAGGGTTCATCGTACCAGTAGTCCTCGCTTTATGACCCCCCCGTTTCCGTCGCTCAGGGAATTTCGCTCCGTTTGATGACGGGGTTAAGTGAATCCCTGCCCTCCTTGCGTTAGGAACTCGGTCGTTAAGCGGAAGCGGCACCCCTCCCCTCGTCCGAAGGTCGCAAAAGGGGATCGGCGGATCCCCAGCACGACACGGCCGTAGTGAACACGAGTCCGTCGCTAAACACCCGAATTTGGATCCCGGGGGAGGCGGCGACGGTGTGTGGGAAAACGGGTCGCCGGTCGCTTTTTCTTTCCCCCAGGGGCGTCGCAACTGGGAACGGATTCTAAGCGAATCGTCATTAAGGCGAGGACTTCCTGAAAAACTTGGATTAAGGCAAGTTAAACGGAGGAGGAGGAGGAGCAGACCCCGAAATTAAAGAGTTTTGGTGACTTCAAGCATCCTGCGTCCTTTTTTTCTCTCCCCCCCGGTGGTGGCCATCGGGGTTAGTTCTCTTTGTCATCTTGGTTTAATGTTGGTTTTTCTTGTCAAGGTTTCCTGAGGAGGAGGAGGAGGAGGAGGAAGAAAGGAAGGAAGAAAGGAAGGAAGGAAGGAAGGAAGGATTGGGGGGGGTCTAAGTACTCTCTGAGCTGGGTGGTCTCCTTGCAGACGTTTCATGACCCAACTAGGGAACATCATCAGGGCTAGAAGGGAGGAGGAGGAGGAGGAGAAAGAGGAGGAAATAGACTATGAAGTCCTTGACGCTCTCTAAGCTGGGTGGATTTCTTGCAGACATTTCATTACCAAACTAGCTAACATCATCAGGGCAAGAACGATGATATATAAGCAACTCCCTTCTCTTCTAGAGCTGAGAACGTTACCTAGCTGGGTCCCGAAATGTCTGCAAGACGACCCCTAACCCCACATGCCACCCAGGAACCCACATTTTGTCTTTTGTCCCCCCCCCCTTGCTGTCGTGAAGGGCTTTGTGTATCTCTGAGGTAAGCTCCCCAGAACTGCGCGTCTTCCAAGGGGCCGTTGTGTAACCCCGTTCAAAGACAACCCCGAGAAACACATCCAGAAGACGACAAACGGATGGTCAATGGCACTCCGAGGCTCCCGCTTTTCCCTTTTGTGGCCTTCCCGTTGCCGGGCCGATCCGGCGTTGACAACCTCCCTGGCTGGCTTGCCAAATTTTGATAGAATCGATCAGCTTTGCGGAGGTTTTCTCGCACGGCTCTCCAACATCGGATTTTGATCTTTTCCATCATCTCTCTCTCTCTCTCTCTCTCACACACACACACACACACACAAAAGAGGCTTAACCGAGTTCAGCCAGCAGCCTTTGCGACACGGCGGGAGACATCCCGGTTTGATACGTTTGGGCTAATCCTCTTAGTGGGTCCGTTATGTAATCCTGGGTGGGGGGGGAGGAGGGATTTGAGGATCGTGTAGGCGGAACTTTCCGGGGCCTTCTGCTCAGCGAGCGGAGTTCAGAAGACCCAGATGACCTGAATCCCGGCGTTTCGCACAGGGACGTTGTGGAGCTCGGTTGTGGTGGTGCCGAAGAGTGAATAAAATCAGAAGGGGAGGGAGTGGATTCCAGCCAATTTGTTTAAAGGGGAAGCCCTGATGATGTTACCTAGTTGGGTCACGAGACATCTGCAAGGAAACCAGCAAGATGAGAGAGCACCAAGGACCCCCCCCCCACCGGTCCCTCCTCCTCCTCTTCCTCCGGCTCCCTCTCTCCTCCACAAACCCCACACCCTTCTAGTACTGATGATGCTACCTAGTTGGGTCACGAAACGTCTGCAAGTAACCACCCAGCTCAGCAAGCATTCGTCTCCCAGAATCCCCCAGCCGGCATGCTTTGAGGGAAGGACTTCCACTCCCAGAATCCCCCAGCCAGCATGCTTTGGGGGGGGACTTCCACTCCCGAATTCCCCAGCCAGGATGCTTTAATAGGGGCCTGCAACTCCCAGAATCCCCCAGCCAGGATGCTTTAATAGGGGACTGCAACTCCCAGAATCCCCCAGCCAGCATGCTTTAAGAGGGGAGGACTTCGACTCCCAGAATCCCCCAGCCGGCATGCTTTAACACAGAGGGACTTCAACTCCAGAATCCCCCAGCCAGCATACTTTAAGAGAGATGGACTTCAACTCCCAGAATCCCCCAGCCGGCTTTAAGAGTCATAAATGTGAAAAACGGTCAAAAGTCACTTTCTCCAGACCATAACTTGAAATGGCACTAAATGAAGTGCTGTGATTTTATGATTTCCTTTCATTTTTAAGCCAGTTTGCATTTTAACATTTGAGGTTGAGATATTATCCAATAAATAAATAAATAAAATAATTATATATTATATTATGTTATGTTATATTGTCATATATTATATTATATTATAATTATAATTATTATATTATATATTACTAGCTGTACCCAGCCACACATTGCTGTGGCTCAGTGTAGTTAAATGGAAAAGAAAGAAAAGAGAAAGGGCACGTTTGTAATATGTTTAATTTCACAATGCTTGTGGGTATACAATATTTTTTGTTGTTCCATTGTGTGTGCAGATATAGAGATTATATCCAACAGATGGCGCTGTTTTTCAAAAAAAGCATGTTTTATCTGTCACAGGTGTGACATCTGTATAATATAGGTATATAAAAACACGCGCGTATTCGAATGCAACGTTCTGTCAAAATTTCAAAGCAATCGGTGAAGAACTTTCGGAGATTTAAGATTTTGAACAAATGAACATTTACATTTTTATTTATATAGATTATAGATTATATTATATTATATTATTATATTATATTTTATACTATATTATATTATTATTATATTATTACATTACATTACATTAAATAATAAAATAAAATAATTATAGCAACGGATGGAAACTAATCAAGGAGAGAAGCAACCTAAAACTAAAGAGAAACATAATGACAGTGAGAACAATTAACCAGTGGAACAACCTGCCTCCAGAAGCGGTGAATGCTCCAACACTGGAAGTTTTTAAGGAGAGACTGGACAGCCATTTGTCTGACATGTTGTAGGGTTTCCTGCCTGAGCAGGGGGTTGGACTAGATGACCTCCAAGGTCCCTTCCAACTGTTATTCTACAATTCTGTAAGGGTCTCCTGCTTGAACGGGGGGTTGGACTAGATGACCTCCAAGGTCCCTTCCAACTTATTATTATTGTTGTTGTTTTGTTGTTGTTCCTGCTGCTGTTGTTTTGTTGTTCTTATTATTGTTATATTAAATAAAATAAAATAAATTCAAATAAAATAAAATAATAAGATATATAATAAAATTAAATAATAAAATTAAATTATATTAAATAACAATAAAATTAAATAATAAAAAATAAAATAAATTCGAGTAAAATGAAATAATAAAATAATAAGGCATTATCTCAGAAAATGAAATAACAAAATAAAATTATGTTCCCTAATAATAAAGTGAAATAATAAAAACAAGCATAAATAAAAAATAAAATAAATTCGAATAAAATGAAATAACATAAAAAAGAGCTTATCTCATAAAATGAATTAATAAAAGCAAATTATGTCCCCTAATAATAAAATGAAATAATAAAAACAAGAATAAATAAAAAAATAAAATAAAATAAATTCGAATAAAAGGAAATAACATAAAAAGAGCTTATCTCATAAAATGAAATAATAAAAGTAAATGATGTCCCCTAATAATAAAATGAAATAATACAAAACAAGCATAAATAAAAAATAAAATAAAATAAATTCGAATAAAAGGAAATAATAACATAATAAGAGCTTATCTCATAAAATGAAATAATAAAAGTAAATGATGTCCCCTCATAATAAAATGAAATAATAAAAAACAAGCATAAATAAAAAATAAAATAAAATAAATTTGAATAAAATGAAATAACATAAAAAAGAGCTGATCTCATAAAGTGAAACAATAAAAGTAAATGATGTCCCCTAATAAAATGAAATAATAAAAAACAAGAATAAATAAAAAAATAAAATAAAGTAAAATTCGAATAAAAGGAAATAATATAAAAAAGAGCTTATCTCATAAAGTGAAACAATAAAAGTAAATTATGTCCCCTAATAATAAAATAATAAAAAACAAGAATAAATAAAAAATTAAAATAAAATTCGAATAAAGGGAAATAATAACATAAAAAAGAGCTTATCTCATAAAGTGAAACAATAAAAGTAAATGATGTCCCCTAATAATAAAATGAAATAATAAAAAACAAGAATAAAAAAATAAAATAAATTTGAATAAAAGGAAATAATGACATCGTAAGAGCTTCTCTCCTAAAATGAAATAATAAAAGTAAATTCTGTTCCTTAACAATAAAATGAAATAATCAAAACAAGAACAGGAAATAAAAAAAAAATAAAGTAAAATAAATCCCAATAACGTCAAATGAAATAATAAAACAATCAGTATTCTCTCCTAAAAGTGAAGAATAAAATGAAATTATATGAGATAATAAAAGGAACTAATAAATCATGAAAAAAAAAAAAACCAAAGCCCTGGGAAAAAGCTGGGCAAAGCAAAAAAAAAAAAACCCGCCCCAATTATCGCCTCTAATATTCCGGGAGTTCACAGAGCGGAACTAAATACATCCTCAGTCTGGCCACTGAACCGTTTTCTTTGCTAAATTACGGCCCTATTATATCTTATTAAAAAGCAGAGCCCGGAGGAACGAGGGGAGCCAGCCAGATAATTACACACCCGTGGAAATGAAATTTCCTTCTGTCTTTTCCTCCCAAAGCTGAGGAGACAGCGCCTCCCGGAGAAGGAAGGCCTGCATCCAAATTAAAAGAAGAAAAATAATAATAATCTAGGATTTCAAGGGATTTGCAAAAGGAACGAGATCACCGGCCAAAGCCGAAGAGATTTGCCAGGGGCAGGAGCTCTCCGTGCCGAAGCCTTTTGCCATCCCTCTTGGACCGTCCGAGGAAATCAGATAGAGTGCAACGGTCAGGGGCGGAGCGGATTCAGAGCAAGCCAGAAATCCAAAACGTGTGTGTGTGTGTGTGTGTGTGTGTGTGTGTGTGTGTATTTGTTTTCTGAGGTTTTCGCGGGTGTTTGTATGTAGGTCTTTGGTTATTCCGGTTTTCTCCCGCGTCAAATTGGAAGTGTCTTGGCGACGTTTTGACGAAGTCCCATTCGTCATCTTCAGGCTGGTGTTTTCGGCTTCGTGCTTCTAGATTATCATTGCTCCTAGAAGCACGAAGTCGAAAACACCAGCCTGAGGATGACGAATGGGACTTCGTCGAAACGTCGCCAAGACACTTCCAATTTGGCGCGGGAGAAAACCCGAATAACCAAAGACCTATATGTATGTGTATACACACACACACACACACACACACACACACGAAAGAAGAAAACAAGAGAAAAAAGAGAAAGAAAGAGGAAGAAACGAAGAAGAAAAGAAGGAAAGGAGAAGAAGAAATGAAGAAGAAAAGACAAGAACAAGAAACGAAAAAGGAAAGAAGTAGAAAAGAAGAAGAAAAGAAGAAAAGAAAAGAAGAAAAGAAGGAAAAAGAAAAAGGAAAGAAAAGGAAAGAAGAGAAGAAATGAAGAAGAAAAGACAAGAACAAGAAACGAAGAAAGAAGTCGAAAAGAAGAAAAGAAAGAAGAAAAGAAAAGAAAGGAAGAAAAGAAGAGAAGGAAAGAAGGAAAAAAGGAAAGGAGAAGGAAAGAAGAAAAGAAAAGAAGAAGAAAGGAAGATGAAAAGAAGAGAAGGAAAGAAGGAAAGAAAAGAAGGAAAGGAGAAGAAAGAAGAAGAAGAGAAGAAGAAACGAAGAAGAATGAAAGAAGAAAAGAAAAAGAAAAAGAGAGGAAAAGAAGAAAAGAAGGAAAGGAGAAAAGAAGAAAAAGAAGGAAAGAAGAAGAAAAGATGAGAAGAAGAAACAAAGAAGAAAAAGGAAAGAAATTAATAATAATAATAATGATAAAGTTGGAAGGGACCTTGGAGGTCATCTAGTCCAACCCCCTACCTATGCCATTTCAGACAAACAGCTGTCCGGTCTCTTCAAAACCGAACCGCTGCAGCGATTCAGTTAGCGACCGGGGCAAGTGAGGTCGTAAAACGGGGCCAATCTCCCCAATTTGCCACAGAAATCTCAAGCAAAGTCAACCGGGGGGGGGGAGCTCGGTTTTGCCGATTCACTTAATGACCCAAAAAACCCGGTCGTAAGTTGAGGCAAAAACTCCTGCTTAGCCACGGAAACGGACGGAAAGGGCTCAATTTTGGTCGTTAAGTCGAGGACAACCGCTCGGCCCAGGCCGACGAGAACGGAGCCCGACTTCTCGACGTCAACTTTGTCCCGCTTTATGCCCAACCCAACTCCCGGCCGCGCGGCAACACTCACGCTCCCGAGGAAGGTTCTCGGCCCGCGGTGTGGCTTTCGTCTCCTGGTTTTCGGCCTTCGGACCGCCGCCGTCGCCGTCCTCGTCGTCCAGGAGCGGGACATAATCCGTCTTGCCCACCTTCTCCCCGATCACGTCGTCAAACTTCTCGGCCTCCAGGCTGGCCATGAAATCCCGCTTCACCTCCTCCTCAATTTGCGGCGGGGGCTCGGTCAGCGCGTCGGCCAGGCTGAGGTTCTGCTCCATGTCCGCCATGCCGCCGGTGCCCTTCCCGACGTTCGCGCTGGGAAAAGGGAGAGCAAAGGGCGGGGGGGGGGGAAAGAACGAGAAGGATATCAAGCGTCTTTCTCGACCGCCACAATCGGCACTCAAAACGTTACGTTGTTCTTAAGGAACGAGTCGGTTTTCGGGCGCCAAAAAAGACCAGATTACACACGTGAATTAAACTGGTTTCTCGCTGAAATCCTACGGACAAGAATCTTTCAACTCAATTGGTCTATTGCTCAAAGCCTCCACAGAGGAATCTTTCAACAGGTTTATTGCTGAAAGCCTGCGCACGGGAAGCTTTCAACTAAACGGGTTTATTGCTGAAAGCCTGTGAACAGGAAGCTTTCAACTAAACGGGTTTATTGCTGAAAGCTTGTGCACGGGGAGCTTTCAACTAAACTGGTTTATTGCTGAAAGCCTATGCACGGGAAGCTTTTAACTAAACTGGTTTACTGCTCAAAGCCTCCACAGAGGACTCTTTCAACAGGTTAATTGCTGAAAGCCTGCGCACGGGAAGCTTTCAACTAAGCTGGTTTATTGCTGAAAGCTTGTGCACGGGAAGCTTCCAACTAAGCTGGTTTATTGCTGAAAGCTTGTGCACGGGAAGCTTTCAACTAAGCTGGTTTATTGCTGAAAGCTTGTGCACGGGAAGCTTTCAACTAAGCTGGTTTATTGCTGAAAGCTTGTGCACGGGAAGCTTTCAACTAAGCTGGTTTATTGCCGAAAGCCTGTGCACGGGAAGCTTTCAACTAAACTGGTTTATTGCCGAAAGCCTGTGCACGGGAAGCTTTCAACTCAACTGATCTACGGCTAAAAGCCTCTGCACAGGAATCGTTCAACTCAACTGGTTTATTGCTGAAAGCCTGTGCATATAAAGCGTTCAACTCAATTTATTCATTGCTAAATGCCTACGCGTAGGAATCTTTCAACTAAGCTGATGTATTGTTAAACGTCTGTGCACAGGAATCTTTCAACTAAACTGATCTATTGCTGAAAGCCTGTGCACAGGAAGTTTTCAACTAATCTGAGTTATTCCTGAAAGCAAAACCCAGGAACCTTTCAACTGACATGATCTACTGCTAGATGCCTGTGCACAGGAATCACTCAGCTCAAGTGATCTATTGCTCAACGCCTGTACACAGGAATCTGTCAACTGCAGTAAACCTATTAGTTGTCAAAAGCCCATGCACAGGCATCTTTCAACTCCACTGATTTGTTGCCGAAAGCTTGTGCACAGGAAACTTCCAGCTCCTCTAATTCATTGCTAAAAGCCTCTGCATAAGAATTGTTCAACTCAACTGGTTTAGTGCTGAAAGCCTGTGCACATAAAGCTTTCAACTCAATTAATTCATTGCTAAATGCCTATGCACAGAAATATTTCAACTAAACTGATCTGTTGCTCGAAGCCTCCACAGAGGAATCTTTTAATAGGTTTATTGCTGAAAGCCTGCACATGGGAAGCTTTCAACTAAACTGGTTTACTGCTTAAAGCTTGTGCACAGGAATCTTTCAACTAAACTGATCTATTGCTAAAAGCCTTTGCACAGGAATCTTTCAACTAAACTGGTTTACTGCTTAAAGCCTGTGCATAGGAATCTTTCAACTAAACTGATCTGTTGCTGAAAGCCTTTGCACAGGAATCTTTCAACTAAACTGATCTGTTGCTGAAAGCCTGTGCACAGGAAGCTTTCAACTAAACTGATCTATTGCTAAAAGCCTGTGCACAGGAATCTTTCAACTAAACTGGTTTACTGCTTAAAGCCTGTGCACAGGAATCTTTCAACTAAACTGATCTGTTGCTGAAAGCCTTTGCACAGGAATCTTTCAACTAAACTGATCTATTGCTAAAAGCCTTTGCACAGGAAGCTTTCAACTAAACTGGTTTATTGCTCAAAGCTTGTGGAAAGGAATCTTCTCGGCTAAAAGTGGGCCCCTGGTTCGAATTAAATAAGGGCCAACAGGACTCAAAAGAGAGTTGGAGTTAGTTCCCTCGTGACTACATAAGGATTCAACTCTGACCCCAGGTGCTGCTACTCCTCTCACCCCAGAATTCTCCAAACCTTGTTTCCAAGCCCACTACAGGGGACCCTTAAATTACAACCATTCATTTGGCCATCGTTCAAACTTACAACGGCCCTGACTCAAGTGACTAACAACTGGTCCTTACGCTTACTACCAGGCTCAGAAAGTACCAAGGACCCCACAGTCTTCCTCCTCTTCCACGTAACCCCCTCCTTCCCTTCTAGCACTGATGATATTACCTAGTTGGGTCACGAAATGTCTTCCAGGAAATAACCAAACTCAGAGAGTGGCAAGGACTATGCAGTCCTCCTCCTCCTCCTCCTCCTCCTCCCCCCCACTGTGCAAACCCCTCTCACTTCTAGCACTGATGATGTTCCCCAGTTGGGTCACGAGACGTCTGGAAGGACACCACCCAGCTCAGAGAGCACCAAGGACCCCACAGTCCTACTCCTCTTTCCAAACCCCGCTCCCCGCTAGCACTGATAATGTTACGTAGTTGGGTAATGAAACGTCTGCGAGGAAACCACCCAGATCAGAGCGTGAACAACTCCACAGTCCTACTCCTCTTCCTCCACCCTTCTCCTCCTCCTACTTCTCCTCTCTGCAAAACCGTCGCCTTTCTAGCATCGATGTTCCTAGTTTCGTCGTGAGACGTCTGCAAGGAAACCACCCAGCTCAGAGACCACCAAGGATCCCACAGTCCTCCTCCTCCTCCTCCTCCTCCTCCTCCTCCTCCTCCTCCTCCTTCTTCTTCTTCCTCTCCTCCTCCTCTTCTTCTTCTTCCTCTTCTCCTTCCTCCTCCTCCTCCTCCTACCCCTCTTGATGTTCCCTAGTTGGGTGATGAAACGTCTGCAAGGAAACCACCCAGCTCAGAGACCACCAAGCATCCCACAGTCATTCTTCTTCTTCTTCCTCTTCTTCTTCTTCCCCTCCTCCTCCTCTTCTTCTTCCTCTTCTCTTCTTCTTCTTCTTCTTCTTCTTCCTCTTCTTCCTCCTCCTCCTCCTATCCCTCTTGATGTTCCCTAGTTGGGTGATGAAACGTCTGCAAGGAAACCACCCAGCTCAGAGAGCACCCAGGACCCCACAGTCCTCCTCCTCCTCCTCCTCCTCCTCCTCCTCCTCCTCCTCCTCCTCCTCCTCCTCCTCCCCTCTCCTCCTCCTTCTAGCTATTACCTAGTTGGGTCATGAAACTGTGCAAGAAAACCCCCAAACTCAGAAAGCATCAAGGACCCCCACAGTCCTTGCCACCTCCTTCTCCTCCTCCCCCCCCTCTCTCTCTCTCCAATCCTTCCTTCCTTCTGTCACTGATGACATTACCTAGTTGGGTCATGAAATGTCTGCAAGGCCACCCCCATGCTCAGACAAACCCACGACCCCACAGTCCTTCTCCCCTCCTCCCTTCTAGCCCTGATGACGTTCCCTAGTTGGGTCATGAACGTACTGCAAGGAAACCACCCAGCTCAGAGAGCACCATGGAGTCTACAGTCCTTCCTCCTCCTCTTCTTCACAACCCCCCCTCCCTTCTAGCACTGACAATGTTCCGTAGTTCGGTCATCCGACGTCTGCTACAAAGCCCCCGCCCCCCACTCCAAAACACCCAGGACCCCAATCATTCCTCCTTCTCCTCCTCCTCCCTCCCTGATGATGTTCCCTAGTTTGGTCACGAGACGTCTGCAAGAAGACACCACCCAACTTCCAAGAGCACCAGGACCCCCACAGTCTTCTTCCTCCTTCCCCTCCTCCTCCTCCTCCATCTCTACCTCCCCCTCTCTTCCTCGTCCTCTTCCACCCCCTCCCCATCCTCCTCCTCCCTCCCTCCCTTCTAGCCCTGATGATGTTCCCTAGTTCGGTCACGAGAAGTCGGCAAGAACAGGCCCTCCCCTCCCCCCTCCAAGTTCCGAGCGGAAAATCCTCTAGAAACGTCCGGACAGTTACAACAATTCACCAGTGGAACTCCTTGCCTCCAGAAGCGGTGAATGCTCCACACTAGAAGTTTCTAAAGACGAGACTGGGACAGCCCTTTGTCCGAAATGATCTAAGGTTTTCTTCCCTGAGTAGGGGTTGGACTGGATGACCTCCAAGGTTCCCTTCCAACTTTATCATCATCATCATCATCATATTATTATTATGAAGAGACTGGACAGCCCTTTGTCTGAAATGGTGTTACTACTACTACTACTACTACTACAGGGTTTCTTGCCTGAGGAGGGGGTTGGACTAGATGACCTCCAAGATCCTTTCCAACTTTATTATTATTATTATAGGGTTTCTTGCCTGAGGAGGGGGTTGGACTAGATGACCGCCAAGATCCCTTCCAACTTTATTATTATTGTTATTATAGGGTTTCCTGCCTGAGCAGGGGGTTGGACTAGATGACCTCCAGGGTCCCTTCCAACTTTACTACTACTACTACTACTACTACTACTACTACTACTACTACTACTACTACTACTACTACTACTACAGGGTTTCTTGCCTGAGGAGGGGGTTGGACTAGATGACCTCCAAGATCCTTTCCAACTTTACTACTATTACTACTACTACTATTATTATTATAGGGTTTCTTGCCTGAGGAGGGGGTTGGACTAGATGACCTCCAAGATCCCTTCCAACTGTATTATTATTGTTATTATAGGGTTTCCTGCCTGAGCAGGGGGTTGGACTAGATGACCTCCAGGGTCCCTTCCAACTTTACTATTATTATTATGGATCATCGCACAGTCAGCCAGATGTTCAGACTGGATTTGGCATTTTGTCTACCTATCGAGTCCTTACCCAGGACCTGGGATAGGCAGATGTGGATGTTTGATGGTATTACAGATCTCGTCACAGGATGGAAGCAGTTCCTAATAAGGCCGCCTTTTGCAATTGACTAATAGCAAATTTGTCAATGCCAATGGTGTTCAAGTGGTGCTCCAGTTGTTTTGGGATTATTATTATTATGGATCATAATAATAATAATCCCAAACAACTGGAGCACCACTTGAACACCAC